AAAAAAAAAAAAAAAAAAAAGGACACAAGGTGATTGTAAGACACAAAGAGCCTTGAGAACTGGGCAATGTCAAGGTCAATGACTATTTTTTTAAATTTTATTTTATTTGTTTTTTTTTTTTTTTTTTTTGTAGTTGAGACAGGGTCTTGCTCTGTCACCCAAGCTAGAGTGCAGTGGCATGATCTCAGCTCACTGCAGCCTCAACCTTCTAGGCTCAAGGAATCCTTCCACCTCAGCCTCCCAAGTAGTGGGGCCACAGGTGGATATCACCACACCTAGCTAATTTTTTAAAAATTTTTTGTAGAGACAAAGTCTCACTATGTTACCCAGGCTAGTCACAAACTCCTGGGCTCAAGCAGTCTGCTCGCCTTGCCTCCCAAAGTGCTGGGATTACAAGCATGAGCGCCCGGCCGAAGGGTACATGATTTCTATTAATAACTCATATTTGACTTCTTGCTGTTGATATTAACCTCCATCACCTGGGCAGTCTGTTATTTTCACTGAGTTTACAGCAGGGCTAGAGTAACAACAAATGTTGGCTGAATAAGGTCAAGACTGGAAAATCTGGATGAGGGCAGAAGCAAATGGGAGGGGTGGGGAGGAAGACAAGGAGAAGCAAGCAGAAAGAGGTGGCCTGTGCAGCGTGTCCCTGTGGTGCGGTTCCCGCAGGGCCGGGCTGCTGGATGCCAGGCAGTTCACGTTCTAGCTTACTCGGTATTCACAATGGCCCTTTTATGGATGAGGAAACTGAGACCTGAGGGTGAAAACAACATGTCCAAGGTCACATGAGCCAGGAAACCTGTGATTGGGCTCAGGTCTGTCTTAACTGCCTGATAAATGTTGTTTCTAACTCTGTTTCACGAAGGATTCATGATAGATTATAAATAAAATACATTCAGTAAAACAACATGCAATACCAAATGGAAAATCAGAATCACGGAAAACAGAGTAGAAAATGTGGACAAGGAAAAAGCTGAACATAAAGGCCAAGAAAGTGCCCATAGGCGAGTTTCTGATTTGGCTATGAGTTTCCTGGCAGCCAAAGAAAAGAGAGATACAAGCCGATTCCTGTTATCAAAAAGTAAAGAAGCAGTTTACACTTTCAGGAACTTCATAGTAAATTTAAAAATGAGTTAATCACATGGAAATTTCTCTGGTGAAAAATACTGGGAAATATAATGGATAATGTAATAATAATAAATGTCGAGTGGCATATCTTTAGAAGTGATAGCCATATTTTTATATCTTACCCCTTGCCCAAAGTTGTCTTACTTGGGGTCTTTTTTTTTTTTTTTTTTTGAGACAGGGTTTCGCTGTGTTTCCCAGGCTGGTCTGGAACTCCTAGTCTCAGGCAATCCTCCCGCCTCAGTCTCCCAAAGTGCTGGGATTGCAGGCATGAGTCACCATGCCCAGCCAAGCACTTTATCTGTATTACCTCATTTAAGTGTCACCACAGTCCTATGAGGGAGGTACTATTATTATCATCATCATCCTCATTTGACAGATGAGTACTGAGGCACAGAGAGGCTGAGTCACTTGCTAAGGGTCACACAGCTGGGAAGTTCAGATTGGGGATCTGAAATAAGGTTTCGATCCAGAGCTTTTACCCGCTACATTATAGCATCTCTCAAATATAAGTGTTTAGCTACCAGATAATATGAGTGTGTTTTAGATGACATGTGAAGATTTCACAGATCCCAGCCAATTACCAGCACCAAAAGTAGTAACTGATGGGGACTTTGGCCACAAAGGGCAGAGTCTCTAAGGAGCTGAGGCTTAGAGACAATGTGAAAACAGCTGTGGAGGGTGTGGCTCAGTCCCAGGCCTCAGAATTTCACTTGTGGGGCTTCCGTTTTCCACCTCACACCCCAAGATGCCTTAACGATCGCCCACCTTTGGCCATCCAAACACAAGAGCCAAATGAGTGACTAATGTCGTCTGGGCAAAGGGGGTCATGCCCAGGTGCCACCAGGCCAGGAGGCTTTTGTTACCAGAAACCTGTGCGTGTTTATATTTCTTGTTTCTGCTCACCCCAGGCCTTTGATTTCCCAGGGTGGAGTTTCCAGAGCTGGGGACCGTCGCACCTTCATCTGGCTGTCGTCACTTCCTTTGTGCGGCTGGGGCACTGGGGACTGAGGACGGGGCAGTCCACAGGGAGCTGTGGTTCCACCCCTCCACTCTTGGTTTCTGCCAGGCCCTTCTCATCAACACAGACCCAGGTTCAACCCAGATTTCTCCTCCACGACTGCACAGTGCCAGTAAGGGAACTGAGAAGACCAAAGTAGAGATTCTTTTCCTTCCCCAACGCTCTCGGGGCCAGGTGTGGCACCCACAACCGCAAATGAGACAATTAGGGAGAATAAGTGGTGGCTGCCCTGCCAGCCCAGAGCCTGTCTGCCCAGGGCACCCAGACTCTGTGAGGTTCCCACCTGAAGAAGCAGTTCCATCTTCCACAAGGAGCACGGGACCAAGAGTCCAGGACCCAGGTTCGAGGCCCAGCTCTGCCACTTTCTTGCCGCAGGGCTCAGGTTCTCTGGAGGCAGCATAACGGAGCCAGTGGCTTTGGCAGGGGGAAGATTCACATCCTGGCTCCCTCAGTCTCCAGGCAGGTGACTCGGGGCTGAGGGGTAAGTCCTTTCTCCTCCCCAACCCTTGGTCATCTCATTTGTAAAGCAGAGGTGATGATTCCCATCTCAGGGACGAGGCACTGTGGGGTTAGGAGAGAATTTGTCAAGCGGCATGGTCGGTTTTTGGTCTGTCCAGGCCCCTCCCCCGTTCTGTAAGCTGGAAGTGATACCTGTGAGGCTGAGGCTCTAGGTGGGTGTGGGGAGCCATTGAGGTAGTGAATGGAAGGCCCTGGGTGAAGGGCCCCAGGCAGCTATTGAAATGTTACTTACCCACTGTGGACTTCCCACCAAGCAGAGCCCACCAAGCCTTTCCCATCTGAGGTGGGTTCAGTTTCACTGAGGCAGGCATCTCAGGAAGGGGCCCTTGGCTTTTGTGTGCTGAAAAATAACCAGTGCTCCATCTCTGCTGATTTCTGCTTGGGAGTTCCGTGAGCTTCCTGCATCATCTGTCCACAGACAGGCTGCTGCAGGGTAGACATCAGAGTCCCTGGGGTGGCTTCCGGCCTCCCTCCCTTGCCTCCTGCCTTCGCTCAAACATCTGTAGAGGTTCCAGCCCCAGCCTAAGCCCTTAAGGAGACAGGGTCCCATAAGACCGAGCCTCTGCCATCAGGATTCTGTCTAAAATGCTGTGTGCAGTAAAAGGCAGCATGGGGTAGGGTGGCTGTGTGGGGACACAGAGCCAGGGACCAAATGCTGTCTGGGGTCCCTGGAGGGTAGTCAGGAGAGCTTGCCAGAAGGGGGAAGTCTCTGAAATGAGACAGAAGGAGGAGGAGCCATCGCTTAACCGCACCTGGGCAAGTTACTTCCCTGAACCTCAGTTTCATTCTCTGTAAAAGGAACCAGTGATACCTGCTTCCCAGGGAAGGGTGAGAAGCTTAAAAGAGATGGTGGGTGTAAAAGAACTGACAAATCCCTTACACCACCTGGGTGAATCCCTTACACCACCCAAGTGCCCAGGGGAGATGTTCGGTCAACTGAACTTCTTTTTCAAGTCTTTTCCTCTGGCGATCGACACCTGGTATGTAGTATAACCAAGTGTCCTATTCTAGAAAAAGCAACCTAGCAGTAAGTGAAGCAGCCTCAGAGTCGCCCCTCTCTCTGGGATGGGTAATGGAAACTCTTGCACCCAGTGGGAGTGAGGCAGAAGTCTCCAGAATTCAGACTCTTCCCATGCACCCTGCCTCCCCAGGGCCTGTGACCTTTAGATGTGTTCCCTATTTCTGTAGGTATTATGAAGTTAGATGCAGGAGAATTCTTGAGAACTTAAAGGCACTTCCCCTCTACTTGTGCCCCCTTTGATTTTAAGAACTGTTTGTTGAGCACCTACTCTGTGCCGGGGGACGGAAAGTCTGTTTTGGACAGGCCAGACAAGGTCCCAGCCCCAGTAAAGCTGTGGATTCCGGGGAGGGGCAGAGAGAATGATGATAAAGACATGAAAACAAAACAAAACAGCCTGCAACAAGTACTATAAAGGAAAACGAACAGGATGCTGTAATGGAGAATTTGGGGGACTGCTTAGGGTTCCTGGGACATTTGAGGAGGTACTAGGCTGAGATGTGAAGTTGGAGCTGACCATGGGAGGAGTAGAGAGGAGGAAAAAATGTTCCAGACAGAGACAACAGCAGCTACAAAGGTCTTAGGGGAAGGGGGAAACTGTAGAAACTGAGGAACTGCATGAGGAGGTGGGGGGGCAGGTAGCACAAGATGAGGGCCCAGAGTGGGCAGGGGCCATGGGTCCCAGTGAAGGGTTTGGATTTGATTCCAGGGACAGTGGAGGGGTTTTAAGCAAGGGAGTGGTAATATCAGAATTTTATTTTTATTTTATTTATTTACTCAGACAAGATCTTGTTGTGTCGTCCAGGCTGGAGTGCAGTGATGCAATCACAGCTCACTGTAGCTGCCACCTCCTGGCTTCAAGCGATTCTCCCACCTCAGCCTCCCAAGTAGCTGGGACTACAGGCGCGTACCACCACGTCTGTAAAAAAAAAAAAAAAAAAATTGGGGTCTGTGTTGCCCAGGCTGACCTAGAATTAGACTCAAGTGATTCTCCTGCCTCAGCCTCCCAAAGTGCTGGGATTACAGATGTGAGCCACTGCACCCAGCTAGATTTCTGTGGGGTTTTTTTGTTAATTGGTTTGAGATCGAGTCTCACTCTGTCACCCAGGCTGGAGTACACTGGCACAATCTCAGCTCACTGCAACCTCTACCTCCTAGGTTCAAGCAATTCTCCTGCCTCAGCCTCTTGAGTAGCTGGGATTACAGGTGCATGCCACCAGGCCCAGCTGATTTTTTGTGTTTTTAGTAGAGACAGAGTTTCACCATGTTGGCCAGGCTGGTCTTGAACTCCCGACTTCAAGTGATGCACCTACCCTGGCCTCCCAAAGTGTTGGGATTATATGCGTGAGCGAGCCACGGCGCCTGGCTTCAGCCAGATTTCATTTTAAAAGCTCACCCTGGCTGCCGAGGGGGCTGTCAGAGGGCAGGAGTGGAAGCCAGGAGACCATTAGGAGCCACTGCCCTCACTTGTCCCTGTGATGTCAGGCCCCTCACCCCTCTAAACCTGTTTATTCACACATATGTGTGACTGTGAGAATCACATTTGGAATGAACAGAAATGTACTTTGCAAAGTTGAAAAGTACTCATTAATGCAGGGATTCCCATCTTGCTAGAAGTGGAGAGCCCTTTGGAAATCTGCTGGGTTAGACCTCTCTGGGGTTCTTGATTGGGACAGTGCTGGGGCTGAGTCCCTAACTGAACACCTCATATCTGAGAGAGCCCCCTTTCCCTGCTTAGGGTTATAGGAGAGGGCTCAGGGGCTGGGGGGAGAGGCACCTGGCTGAGGCTCAGACTCTTGATGGGGAAGATGGGAAAGAAGGGTCCCCTTCCTGGCTTCTGACGTCCCTGGAGCAGTGGTTCTCTTGTGTTAAAGGGAGGGCGATACCTTTGAGCACGGGGGTGACCACCGGACCACCCTGCAGCCATCCAAATGCACACACACAGCTCTTTCATCCCGTGTCAGGGCGTTCAGAGAAATTTTCTGAAACTCATTCACAAACTGGCTTAAAGGCCTCTGAGCTAGAAAGGGGAACTGAAAGGGGACACCTACCTTTTTACTCCACCTTTTTTGTCTGGTCTTTCTAGCATTAACCCCCTAGACACACCTAAGTGCTGATGCTGAGGGGAACCTGTCTTGATTGCTCTGGGCCAAATCGAGGGCACCTTCCTGAGACTTTTGTTATCTGCCACTGGGGACCCCATTGTTGAAGGGGGACTTAAGATTTTCTCGAAGGAGAGCTCACTGTGAGGGCCTTTCCTGCCTGCTAGGGGCTTCAGTTTGGGGGCCTCCTCTCCCGACCTCTGGGGAAGGGAGGGGTCCCCATCTCCCCGGGGCCTCTCGGGTCTTGGGGTCTCCCCGAGAGGCCGGCGGTTGGGAACCGGGCGCCGACGCACTGATCAGGCCCCGCCCGCGAAGGTGGTGCAACTCCTGGTCCGGCCCATCCCATCCCGGCCACCCGGGCAGC